TCGTTTCCTTTAGAAGTACAGTGATATAAAAACACCCGCACTCAATGTATGGGAAACACCTAGGGCCGCTTTGTGATATCCGAGTGGCAACCTTCCGGTCTCTCTTGTGAAGCCAACACGGAAGTGACTAAAACTGCAATTCATCGACTGGCCGCTAGAGGCTGGCTCCAAAAGGGAGTCAGTCCCATAGACTCCCATGTTAAAATGCCCAACTTTACAGCAGAAACAAATATGTTTACAGCCTGGTACAAAAAGTGGTTTTGGTCTATATAGCAAATTTTGCCCTTCATGACAACTGTGAGGGGAGTGAATTTTGTTATAACTCATCCGTTTAAATTATATTAAGCCTTACAGTTCTGCATAATTAAAGACGTGGCCACTTGAGTGACAGGTGGATTGCCGCTGCTACACACTGACTAAAATTCAAAAAGTGAAAAAGCATAATAGGACCCCTTTAACATTTATTTTATAAGTAACATGTTTTTTAATGGTTTTAATTTTAGTTTCAGTTTTAGTTAACTACAATAACTCTGCTTTAATGAATAGGAAGATCAAAAGAATAGCATTTATTTGAAATCGAAATCATTATAAATGTCTTTACTGTCACCTTTGATCCAATTAATGTATCCTTAATGACTAAAAATAATTTATTAAGCAACACAATTTTATAATAAACAATACCAAAAAAATTATAACCATTTTGAGTTCTGAAATGTGATGTTTATATGCAAATAAGTTGCTTTAGTGAGTCAGATGTCAATCATTATATGCTCATAAAACTCCTTTGCAATGACAAGTGTGTAAAACGCAGTAAATAATCCTTTTTGATAATCATATACATGCAGAATAAATATTAGTTTATCCTGTGCAATTTGGATGCCAGGGCACTTTTTTTTTGTTGTTGATTTGTAAAGCTACTGGTAGCATTGCTATTTTATGCATCATCTTCAGGCCACAAAATACCTTTATGGTCAGAAGTTGGAAATCAAATAGGAATATGATCAGAATATAGAACGCAGCATTAATATTTGACCATATTCTGGTCGGTCACAGGGTGTTTGTTCGGCTTTAACTTAATGCTCATGCAGAGATTGAATGCTGCTCCATCTCTGCTTGGTATCTCTGACAGCAACACGCTGCTCTGCCAAAGCTTTTTATCTTTGAAGAGCCAAAAACTGCTCAGAGATATTGCTTATTGTTCACTCCCACACACACACACACACACACACACACGTCTTTCTCTCCACGCTCTGTCTGTCTCACACATACAGCCTACGGTCTCATCAATCTTTGAGAACAAGAGCCTCCAACCCAAAGTGTGAGAAAAACAGAATAAGAGGGAGGGGGAAGCACTAAAACCGGGTCTGTGGGTGTGAATGAAGGTTATATGTTCACTAGCCTGATTTATAATTGCTCTGCTGCGTTTATGGCATTTGGAGGGACTAGTTTGCTCAAGGCATCACTTTAATGGCTTTTTGGGTTCGTAATTGTGTATTTTGAGGTGAATGTGTGTTGTTTCTAAATCAAAGGTCTAGTATGAGTATTTGCAATGGAATCTAATATTTTTTGGTTTTGTATTGGAGTATTTGTTGTACTTTTATATTTTCCAGTCTGCTGTACACTGTAAAATTGGTGGTTGGTGAACATTGATTTTATTTATTTTTTATTGTAAATAAAGCAAAGACTATTGGAGTGCATTGCACATGAAAATACGATTTCAGTCTATCTACTTCAACATTTTACGTTTAATTGAATGGAACACATGAAGTCTTGCAATTTTTTAAAATTATTTGTGGAATTTACTAGCAATTTGTGAGTAAAACGTTTTTTCAGTGTACTGTTATAATTCTTTGCAAAGTGCAATAAGAGCTAAACTACATTATGAATATAGCCACAGCATTCCTATATTCATAATATAATATGACCTTCAAGAAAAATGTTAAGGACACAAATTGTCTTTAAATTGTTATTTTATAAAGTAAATTGCACAGTATATTGGTGTGTGTGTGTGTATATATATACATATTCTTTGTTACATGTTTGTTTAAAAAAAATGTTTGGCCCATATTAGATATTTAATTGTACATAGTAATTTTCCCTATGTTTACTTTCAGGTTATTTTTGCTCATCTAATTTTGTAAAAAAAAAAATAATAACAATAATATTAAAAACGAATAATTGTTAAATTTAGCAAATCTAATGTAATTTCAAATTGTACATTGTTTCAGCTATATAGTAATAACGGTTCATTTTTGATGAAATATTGGTGCATGAAGATCTATCTACTAACATGTAAACTAAAGTTACTGTAACAGTTGGTGAACACTGGACAGGTTTTTCACATGTAATTGTATTGTTTCCAGGACCGCAGCTCTCAAAAAACAAAAGGCAAAACAGAAAAGATGCTTGTGAAATGAAACGGTCTGGAACAGTAGCAGTATACAGTAGTGCTTTATATAAAACACATTGTTTTAAAGCAGCTTCACAGTAATAAACAAGAAAATACCTGAATTAATTATGCAAACTTCATCAAGTATGAGAAAAATTTTAATTCTGCTGTAAAGCAGCTCCACTGAAGACAATACTGTCATTCTTCAGCTCAATTCACTTTAAGTTTTGTTCTCATCAGTGAGAACTGGAAAGCTGCTTGCTGAGAAACTTCTCACAAACGCAGCAGTTAAAGCATATGCAGCTCTGGGATGCCAACTGCTAATTGCCAATTTGTCATATAGCCACACTTCAATGCAAAGCCGCGTGCAGGATATTTATTACAGGAACAGTCGCTTGCAACCTGGGGTTAAGATCCTGGCCACGGATGCAGTGCTGATGCCTCATAGATCAACCCGTGTGGGTTCGATACTATAACGTTTGGTAACCGGCCCAGATCTTTAACCACAACGGCATGCAATCTGACAGATAAATAGGTCAAATGTTACAGCACACTTCTGCTGTGCCATACAACATAACCACAAACCCTCTTCACACTCTCACAAATGTCTGAGAAACGATTAGGCAAAGAATCGGCTTCTTCACACGGGCTATCAGGAACGTCTCACACTCATTTCCAGCTGCCCTCATTCATCCTCCACAGTCTGCTGTTTCTTAACCTCCACCCGCTATCACAAGCCCCTCGGGGGCCTCCATTACGAGCCCCCGCTGGAGCACTTCACATCTGGACGAGTTGAAACTTATTTGGCCTCGCTTATTTTCCCCTCGTGCCGCTGTGAGTGTTAGTGACCTGACTTCAACTCCGTGGATGTCCAACTTGCAAACGAATTGCTGTTTTGAACTGGATCGTTTTCCAAGTGATTCATAAACTGTTTATAAATGTGTTTGAATTTATAAACAGTGTAAAAGTAAACTCACAAACGAATTATTGCGAACTTGTTCTTGCTTGATTCTTTTGTTCCAGTGGACTCTTTGAAAATGTTGTTTGAATGATCATGTAAAAGTAAACTTGCAAACAAATGGTTCTCACGAATAGTTTTTTTTTTTTTTAGTTCTTTTGGTTCCAAGTGATTCACAAACTGTTCTTAAATGTTGATTGATTAATAAACCGCATAAAAGTAAACTCGCAAATGAGAACTGATCATTCCAAGTGATTCAAAACTCTCTGTAAATGTTGTTGGAATGATAAACAATGTAAAAGCAAACTCGCAAATTAATGGTTATTACGAATTGCTTCTTTTTTTATTCTTTTGTTCCAAGTGATTCACAAATGTTTTCTGAACGATAAACAGTGTAAAAGTAAACTCGCAAACGAATGTTTAACTTTATTGCGAACTGGTTCTTGTTCCAGTGGACTCACAAACTGTTTGTAAATGTTGTTTGAATGATAAATAATGTAAAAGTAAACTTGCAAACAAATGGTTATTAATTAATCGTTTTTTAAAAATTCTTTCATACCGAGTGATTCAAAACTCTTTGTAAATGTTGTTGGAATGATAAACAGTGTAAAAGTAAAGTCGCTAACAAAACGAAGAATGAAAAGAATTAGAAGAAGTTTAAAAGAAGAATAAAATGCAGTGCTTTGAATCCTGGGAACATTTATGAGTGGAAATTTTTTTTCAGTTCACAGAGACAAATTATCTAAATGAACCAATTCATCAGCTACACAGTGAGCATGTGATTTTAGCAGATCCTGATGATGGACTAAATATTTAGATGATGTATTTTCTGAAATAGCATGAGGGCAAAGAACTTCATTGTGTGTTTTAATTTTTCTCTGTGTACTTCAATATAGGACGTATATTTGCATTTGTGAATGACGGCTCAGCCTTGAGGTTTGTTTTTCTTATGGTTATAAAGCAACATAGTTATAAAGCGGTTGCCGGCAGCTATGTGCTTGTGGCTTTTTACTGCTGGCATAAAATAACCAGCTATCCTACACTACCTGCATGTTAATGAATCTCAGAAATGAATCCTGTTTGTCCTACAGAAGGAATTTACTGTTGTACAAATACTAAGAAATACAGAAATGCAAGGAATGCACATTAAATTGATCAAAAGTGGCACTCGTGACATTTATAATATTCCAAAAGATTTCTATTTTGAATAAATGCTGTTCTTCTGAAATTTATATTCATTAAAGAATCCTAAAAAATGGTTCTAAAAAAATCCTAAAAATATCAAGCAGCGCGACTGTTTTAAACATTGACAATCATAAGAAATGTTTCTTGAGCAGCAAACCAGCAAATTAGAAGGATTTCTGAAGGATCATGTGACACTGAAGACTGGAGTAATGATGCTGAAAATTCAGCTTTGCATCACGAGAATAAATTACATTTTACAATATATTTAAATAGAAAACAGCTATGTTAAATTGTAATAATATTTCACAATATTAGTGATTTTACTGTATTTTTGGTCAAAGTAAATGCAGCCTTGGTGAGTAAAAGAGACTTCATTTCCCCAAATGTTTGATGGGTATCATATGTCTGATTGCATTTATATATATTTAAAATAGTTAAATATGTATATGTTTTTGCGTTTACACTCACCCTAGTGTCTCCTTCAGGAGCAAGAGGGTCCGTCATCCAGGATCCGAATCGAGACCCGGATGTTTTAATAGTGATTGCATCACTAATGCCGGTCAGCTTACCACACGCTGCAGGATGCACAACACACATATTTAATTACACACACGTATATATAATTGCACTCACACACACACTTTCTTACGAGAAGCCTATTGTCACACACACACAAGTTTAATGAGATTAGAGATTTAATGCTGTAATGTTATGATGAGTCCGATTCAGTCATAATTACTGTGGTAATCTTATATCTTGGTGTGAAGGTTATGATTAAATTACTTTAATTGAGTCTCACTGAGCTTCGTTATGAGTTTTCATGATGAAGAGAGAGAAAAAGTCTTCATTGATAGAGGAAAACATATGAATGTTTTTCATGTGTGTGACAGGGAGAGAGAGTATGACATACAGATAAATCGTAAGATAAATATAAAAAATTATGGGTTTTGACGTCCTGGGGTGATAGTGAGTAATAACTGTGTGTGTGTGTATTTATCCTCGCCCATTCAACAAACACCCACACGATTGAGATTAACACACTGAGCTGTAATCAGTTGTCTGGGGGGAGATACATGACTAAATTATTATGCTACTATCTTTAGACTAAAGCCCTGATTCTCTCACACTGCAGACACACATCTGCAAAAAACACACAACCCTCTCACACAATGTAATGAAGCAACGTATTAGATTACGGATTCATTATTGTCAATATACACTGTAAAAAGTGATTTTTCGAAGTAGTCAATATAGATTATTAGAATATGTTTTACAAGAGAATAGGATTTCAGTCATTCTACTTCGATTTCATGTTTAATTCAGTGTAACTTGCCGTTTCTTTTTCATTATATGTGAAATTTACTTTTTATTTCACGTGCTGCATGTGAGAACATTAAATTCATGTGTTCTTGTTTAATCTCATGTGATCTCGCATCAAAATGGCATTTGAGGATTTATGTTTGAACAAGTGAAATAGTGAACTACATTTTTATGTTTCTGATGAAAATGTGATTTTTGCTGTAAATCTGATGGCTTAGAACAGTAATAGTAATACATCTTTCCTTGCCAAAGCACAAACTCATTCATGTCACGTGTGGGATGTAATGTGCATGGGAATATGTGAAATTCATATGGTTTTCCTGTAAATGTTTCATATTCATCAGAAGATGAAGCTCAAGTGTGTGTGAGAAAGGAGAGATCAATCAGTTGTTTTAAAGCCGTATTGATCGTACAGTGAAACTGGCCCAGATTTTTCTTCCAGAAACTCGGCGTGAAGGAGAAAGAAAGATGATACACACCGGAGAAAAGATGCTGGTGTGTGTGTGTGTGTGTGTGTGCATGGATGCTGGGAAATGGAGGCTGTGATGGTGAATGCATAATTTTACTCTTTTATAGCTCAAGAGACTTGAACTGAGTTCTCAGTAATGCTTCATTTAAAGGGGTCATAGGATGCCCATTTTCCACAAGTTGATATGATTCTTTCGGGTCTTAATGAAAAGTCTGTAACATAGTTTGGTTCTCAATGGTAGTGTAAAAAACACCTTTTTTACCCTGTCAAAAACAGCTCTGTTCAGAGCATGCAGAAATCTTACACTCACTTCTTCTGTAGGTGAAGCTGGATCACGAATTATTCGCGCGAACATAGATGCATTTATGTTTTAGCTGTAAAGGTTTACAGTTTTTTTTACTTTTTCTACACTGTGTTGCAAATTCTAATATATGTTAATTTATGTAATTAAATTTTTTTTGTTTTTGTTTTTTTGTGCAGAAAGTCAAAAAAGCATTTCACTGCACGTCAAATGTATGGTTATTCGTACACTCACTTCTTCTGTAGGTGAAGCTGGATCACGAATTATTCGCGCGAACATAGATGCATTTATGTAGATCGGGGGCACATTGTCTTCAAAAACAAACATAATCCACTGCGTCTTCAGCAGTGGGGAGTTCCTCAGATGTCGGGAGTAAACGACGACTGCTATGTTCATTATTACATCCAACAACAGAACACCTCAATCGCTTAGGAGTCATTCTTGTCTACATCTGCTCTAGCGGTGAAACAATGGCGGACTGATGACAGCTCACTCAGGGCGGAGCTAAGGTAAGACACCAGTCCAGTCTGTGCTGAAACGTTACTGTCAATCAACTATCGTGGGAGGGGCCTGTCTGTGTGACGTCACACAGGCAGGCATCTGAGATCGGCTCGATTTGAGAAAGGGGTAAAGATTTTAGTAGATTAACAAAAAAACACTAGGTAGATTTTTATCATTATAGGGTAGTTGTGTACACACACTGCCAACACACATTTCAGTTCAAACAACTTGTAAAAGTGCATGTAGCATCCTATGACCCCTTTAAGTATCAGCTACATCTCAGATGTTTCTGCTAAAATAAAAACAGACCCAAATGAAAGAATAGTTGACATACAGTAATAGTACAGAGCAGCTCAGAACATTTGATCTTAGTAGAAATGGATGAAAAATATTGAAATTTTGATTGCAGACTTTTGGTCAAATCACACAGTTTGAGATGTTGAGATCTCCTCTGAAAACTCCAGAAGAGACACAGGAGAATATTGGGCTCTTCTGAAACATCTGAGAAGCAGGAGACGTAAGCAGAAGTCAAGAAGAAACAGTCAATTTAAAGAGATCTCATTTAAGATTTTTCTTCATCATTGGGAAATGGCAGACAACGTGTTTGAGAAATCAGATTAGAGTGAATCGGAGACAAGTGAGATTAGATTCTGATTTTGACTTCATTTCTCTTATTATAAATGCCTTAATTTGTACCTGATCTTTTTAAACCATTCTTTAGTTCGCTCTTAAAAATAAAGGTTTTTTTTTTTTGCAGTGGTGTCATAGAAGAACCGGTTTCCTTTCAGTGAACAGTTCCATTTTTCTTAGTGTGAAGAACTCTTTCTACTATAAAGAGCCTGAAATAGAAAGGTTCCATGGATGTTAAAGGTTCTTAATGGAACCATGGATGCCAATAAAGGTTTGTTTATTTTTATGTGCTTATGAAAGCCATCATGTGTTGGTGCTTTAGAGAACCCAGGAGCCAAAACACTGAACTTAAGAACCACACAGAAAATCTGGAACTGGCCAAAATAGTTCAGAAAGTTCTTTGAACCTGAGATGCTGCTAAGAACCTTTATTTTTTAAAAGCGTTGCTTTATTAATTAATTACCGCTGCACCCTTGATTAATCATCAGTTGATTGTGACACATGGCGGCTCATACCCATGACTTTTTTGGCTGTTATGTTAGAAAGTCCAGCATCTACTCGCATACTTGGGTCGGTATATTTGTGACGCACGTTTAGTCTGTGAGCAGCTAAATCAGACAAAGTCGTTGTCTTCTCTCCGCAATGTCCTCAAAGAAAAAATGATTCATAAATTAAGTAAATGCTGCTTGTTTTAATTCTAAAATGATAGCATTTCTTAAATTAATTCTACAAGTTTGGTACAAACATGTGGCATAAGGTTAATTGCCACAAAAATAATTTGGGGAAAAAAATAAAATTGAGATTACAACAAGACACGTACAATGGAAGTTAACAGGCCAATTTCAATTTCTGGAGTATTTATAGTGAGATTATTATTTTATAAAATTAGTTCTGTTAAAATGTGTATTGTTTTAGCTGTAAAGGTTTACAGTTTTTTTTACTTTTTCTACACTGTGTTGCAAATTCTAATATATGTTAATTTATGTAATTAAATTTTTTTTGTTTTTGTTTTTTTGTGCAGAAAGTCAAAAAAGCATTTCACTGCACGTCAAATGTATGGTTATGCTTGACAAATACTGCTTGTCAAACTTGTTTTTTTTCAACATTTACAGATTGGCTACATTCACTTCCATTAAAAGTGCCATAATTTTATTTTCCTAAACAAAAGAAGGAACAAGTGGAAATTTTGTGGTGATCACCATTATGCCACAAATTGAGCTTATTTTATACTGTACCTGGAATTCAAACGATGTTGAGCCAGTATCATGTCTTGGGTAAACTTTGTTGAAAACGATAAACACATATTTGTTGTGTGTCTTACCGAGCTTCTGCATGCATGCCCGTAGCCGCTCCTCGAGACTAACCACGCGAGAGTGCAGGTCATCATAGTCGTAGGCTCCCATCTCCTGCTGGAGGAGGCTAAGACTGGACGTCAAGTTCTGCACTTCCTCCTTAAACTGCTGAACCAGCCGCGCGTCCGCTTTGTACTCCTCCAGTACGGGAATCAGCGGACGCAGCTCCGCCATTTTTGCCTTTATGGCCTGCAAGTACAGTATGTAATGTGAAAACGTTGGAAAGTCTTGCCTACTGTACGTTCTGAAATCTGTCTGAATTCTGCTGCCTATGCTAATTTGAATAATCTAGGTGTTGAATATTGTTGTTTATAGTGTGTTTGTTCATCTGGACACTCTTAAAATAAACATTTCAAAGGGTTTTACAGCCATTGGAGTTCTTATAGAAAACCACATCTGCCTCAAAGCATGTGGACATCTAAACACCACACCAGTGTGCTTCAATTTCAAAATCGTTGGCATTTACGATGAGTTGAGACCCGTTCACACCAAGGATAAAACTATAACGATAAAGATATCGTTCTCAAATTTAAAAGAATGGCAGAGGCCACACCACATTTATAATAATAATGGTTTATATTATAATTCACCAGACTTTAAAGAGCACAAGCGGACAACAAAACTGCAGTATGCTTATAATAAACAAAGTTATCGTGCGTCGGTGTGGACGCTAATCGTTATAGTCATCTTTATAACTATTATTTATGGTGTGAATGAGCATTTATTCTTTGTTTTGCTTCTATAACAGTTTCTACTCTTCTGGGAAAGTTTTTCTAGACGCTGGAACAAGGATGCAGAGATCTGCTCCTGAGCATCAGTGAGGTCAGGAATCGATGTTGGATGATCGAAAAAGGTTGCAAAGGTCTTCTATGTTCAGGTCTGGGTTTTGTGCAGGTCAGTCCAGTTTTTCCCCACCAGACCAAACCTTTTTTTATGAACTTCGCTAGTGCAAAAAAGCTCTGTTCTACTTTAAATGCTTGTTTACCCTTGTGAAAAAGAAGTGTGCCTTTTGTATAGAATTGAATTAGTTGTATTGAATGTGCACTTAAAATCTTAAGTATATTTAAAAAAAAAAAACTACTTGCAGATAATGCTTACAGATGTTTTAACACACTTAAGTACACTTTGTGTAATTTGTAATAATGTCAAATTAAAAATATTACGTTTAGAGTTAAACGTTGTACTAAATTGCAATTTCATCATTACAAAAGACCAATAAACGATGATATGATTTAAATTTACCATAAATGCCTGTCTGCACATTCAGCAGTACACCATATTTCAAAGACAATTTAAAATTACATATAACAATGAACTTAAGTCCTAAAATCACTCTAAATGCATTTAATATAAATGTAAACTAATAGTTTCATTTAATTTTAAATAAAATGCAATTACGGCAAGTGTCCAAAAACATTACATTCAGTTCGCACTTAAGTATATTAAGTATATAATATTGTGTACTTATTTTTCACAAGGTAAAGAGACTGTTTTGTATGTACTGATGCTTAAAAAAATCCACTTTTGTAACAAATGATGCTAATATCAAGAACTTCAAATGTAATACAAACTTAAATTTGCATATAGCACCTCACAAACCCTGAGAAATGGTTTTTAATAAGAGGATTCTTTGCTGAAGTGCTTCAATAAACCAAGAAATTTTTTAGCAGGTTATATGTGTGTGTGTGTGTGTGTGTGTGTGTGTGTGTGCGCACGTGCTTGTAGAGCCAGTGAGAGACCAGAGGCCAAGATGCAGTAAAACTACTCATATCCGTATAAAAAATTATATATCTACAAACATTTATCGACGAAATCAAGCGCTCTGAACACGGTAAACAATTGGGAAAAGACTTTATTAGTTGTCGTTTTGAATGCAACAGCAGAAAGGGACACATGCTGAAATTACAACTCACATACAACAATGTGATGTTAAGATTAAATTCTTTACTTCAAAAACGCATATTACTTCAAAAACCAAAGACTCATAGTGACAAATAATAAGAGTAATAATAATAATAATAATAAATAATAATAATAAAACTTAAGCAATACTAGCAAAGATGAGAATAATAATGGTAGTAATAGTAATAATAATAGCAATATAGCAATGAAACTAAATAATACGTAACAATTCTTTAGAGTAGCATGCAGGAGGAGATCTGATTGGTGGTTGGATAAGGGAGGGGGGGAGAAGTGTTTCTTACAGCTAATGACGAATAGAATATGAGAATCGTGACATAAACAGCGTGACTGACGCCCACTTCAGTCAATCGTGGGTTAGACCTGCCTCTTCTGGCCTCTGGCTCTCCTATCATGTCTTTATAGTTAGCCCTGCAAGCAAGAAACAACACACTCAGCACAGGGAGCTAACTCACTAACCTAGCTAACACATTCACGTGCTCTCACAGTCTCACACGCACATCTCATGCACTCGCACACTTACGCTTGTGTTACAAAGTGCCAACAAAATTACAGTCCATGCATGTGTCAGGTAGAGTAGTGTGTCATGGGATGCTTTGATTGGTACATTATAGAAAAAACGAAATGTGCAGATCCTTTATTAATTATTAATATTTAATTTGTTTTGTTTGATATTTTAGTTTATTTTTGTTCTTTGTTATTATTTTTAATTGAATAATTCATATTTAATTGTGCATTCTTCTGTTCGCAAATGTAAAAATACAAAAATGCAAATATTGCATTTGACCAAAAGTTCACTAATTGTTTGGATCGAATCAGACAGGTCTGCACATTTCGCAAGAATCACACAACCTTTCATAGGTGTGCATGCAATCTGCAGTGTTTGTGTATGAAAGTGTGGAACAATGTGTGCATTCATGTGAAATATGTGCACTGTTTGCATTTAATTGTGTGTTTACCTTGTATTGCTTGGCGATGTTTTGTTTGTGGTTCTCCTCCACCTGTCTGAATTTGGTCTCCAGGCCACGGAGCTGATCTTCCATCTTCACAACGTACTGCAGGTCCCTCTGGGTCCGCTGGTCCAATACTTGGATTGATTGCGTCATGTTTTGCACCTAAAAACACACACAGACATACCAGAGATAAAGTGGTTTTGTAAGTAAACACATTTCATATAATTCTTCTTCATATATATATATATATAAGTATATACTTTGAAAATAAATATATAAAATAAAATTATAAAAATATATAATTGAATGTATTAAATGTTTCATTTGTTATCCTCTCTTGAACAAAAATGCAATGTTTTAAATTTTTTCCTTCTAATTTTTTCATTTCATAAAATTATTTGTATTATTATTTTGAAAAACATATGCGATTATGAATATAACTACATATTTTACAAGATATTACGTTTATTTTTTTTATTTTGATCATTTGATATTTAATTTGTTATCCTTTTACAAAAAAAAAAAACATTTTCTTACTACCACTAAGCTTAATAAAAATGATCTGATTTTGATGAAACGTTTAAATATATCGACTCTAAACATCAATATATAACAAATCTAGTGACCTTCAGCACACTAGCGAGTTCTGCAGCTATACCACGTCTGCTAATGATTTGATGTGTCCGAGGAGTTGCATCATTGTCTTTCTGAGGAAAGGCTGTTTGCCTTTGCGCCAGCCGTGTTCCAGAGGAACTCATTAACTCTATGCGAATAATATTGTTGTTAGGCTCATGCCTCTAGGTCACTTTGATCTCTGGAGGAAAGCTCTGGTTATCATAGATTCTGTGTCTGTGGCAACTCATGATGCCCAAGGGCAAACCAATAGAGCATTATGGGTCGGGAGGTCACCTTCTCCAGTAGCTGGCGGAGTTGTTTGGTGCGGGCGTCTCTTGAGCACATGGTCTGCTGAGGTGCGACGACCGTACACACACACCTGCCCTCGCTGTCCTGAGCCGAGCTGTACACCTGCCAGGACTCCTCTGGGTTAGCAGGTAAAACCTGACAACGAGAAATATTACAACATCTAAACTTCATGGTTTCATTTATAATCCCAGACTTATTGACACAAGATTATGCAAAATCCCATCTGCTCGCCCCCCTTCCCCACCCACCAATCAAAACGCAGCAGCTTTACATCAGCCTCATTCACGTGCACAGTTTGTAGTCTATTTGACTGACAGCTGTTAGAGAGAGGCGATCTATCCTGCTCAGCTGTATCATTCTTGAACTGCTGTTGAGTTACAGATCCAATCAAAGTCTGTCTGGAGTTGGTGAGAGTGAGGGACAGATGGAGGATTGATGAACATCCGCTGATGCAGGTCTGGAGAATCCGAAATCTCCACAATCTCCACACCAGTGGAATATTACAACACTACAAACAGACTTTGATTCTGTCTGCTTTGCAGTCTTTTCATGGCATGTTCCATTTTTAATCTGGCCCGTGGTAAACCCCATAGATTTTTGTTCATATTCAAAGTGATATTAATATTAAAATTGTCCATGAAAGTGAAAAAGACTGAACCACGAAAGAGCTACAGAACTGGGTTTACATCTACAGTGTGTTTAGTGATGTAGCTCATTTGTTCCAGTCTTTCTGACTTTTTTTTAACATAAGAATGTTCTAGAGGGACTCGAGACCTGTTAAAACGCTATGTTATGCCTTAAAACCCCTTTGCTTCTTTCAGTGGGCTTTTCCATGCTCATTCTAATCAAATCACACAAAACAAATGCTTCTGGTATCTATTGACTTATTGCAGCAATTTTGTTTTATAAAAAAAATGATTAGAGCTAATCAGAAGGCGAAAACTTTACGAATTGTGATGTTAATGAGCTGAGCGTTCGCAATTCCATGACATCGCCATCAGCAGGTCCGAGAACGCCACTTTTTGAAACCGAGAGCGCAACGAGGTGCACACACCTTCCTGCACTGCACATTTTTAAAGAATGAATGGAACAGAATGCAAAGGAATGAACATTTGTATACAAAAAGCGCTTTAAATGTGGGAAAACGCGAGTTGCGACGCGCTGATATAGTGGAAAATGGTTTTACATATTAAAAGCTTAATGTTTGAATTTTGAGGGGAAATAACCCGAGACTTACTCCTATACTCCGGTCGGGATAGCCGCCCTGCGCCGCGGTCAGTTTGGTGGTGTTGAGCCCCACTAGTGATGGCAGTGTCTGGGACATCCAGTTGGTGATCATTGCCATGGTGCTGAGCACCACTCCGATCTTCAGCAAAGGCACCGACATCTCTGCGCACTGACCCAAACTCTCATTCTACACAAGCCACCGGGGAACCGTAACGGCGAGCATCGCTGCCCGTGAGCGCCTCGTGCATCACCATCATCCGCATCATCTCCTCTGACGGTCCCGGTTCGGACAGTCTCACGGTGCTCATCTTGATTGCCAGTGATTGAATGGAGTCCGGTGTTGTTAAAGTGATCAAAACTGAGCGGTTGTGATCCTCGTCTCCGCGCGCTGCTCCCTTCTGGTGTCTTTTCCGTTATCCGTGCCTTTTTTGTGTGCGTTCACGCCCTTATTGGTCCGCCTTCCCCACGCAAGTGAATTACTCTGGATGGATTACAACTGCACACACCGACTGCTCTCCGTGGATGAGAAAGGAGGCGGCGCCACGCGTTCCAATATAAGGGAACGCGTGAACGCGTCAAGCGCCCCACTGCTCACGAGACGCGCCACCGGGGAGTTGCACTTGGCGACGGATCGCGTTAATAGCCCCATATTGTCATAGCCACGCGCCCGGGACGGTTGTAAACCAAGCATCCCAATGTCACGCCCCAGTCCGGGTCAATGCGAGTGAATAACGATCCAGCCCAACGATCACATTTCTCGCTGTTGCTCTATTGTAATCATTTTTAAATGTCACCACTGTGCAAATGATAAAAACACTTTGAGGGGCGTCAAATTCTCGGTCAGTAATTTTCGCGGCAAATTCTCCTAGGTTCTTTTCGCGCAACCAAAGTTTTCTTTTTGGCGCCAAACTGTTTTAGACGTTTTAAACAAAACATTTAAGCTATTTGTGATTAAAATTTTAATATGTGAATCTATAATAAGGTTAAAAGGCCAGTTTGATAGTTTTTCTGTTCTATTATGAATGAAAAAGCAAGCAGCTTACTGTTGCTATGGATACCGCTTCAGGCAAACGACTTGTAATATCACTTGTTGTTACTGAAACGTTTGACTTTAAATACACACAGCTAAAGGGTTATTTTAACAAGCACCCTGTCATAAGTCATTTTTATCAGTGCTTTTTTTTTTTTACAGAAATAGTACCATTAAAGGGGTCATATGATGTTGCTAAAAATAACATTATTTTGTGTATTTGGTGTAATGAAATGTGTTTATGCGGTTTAAAGTTAAAAAACACATTATTTTCCACATACTGTACTCACTAAGTCAAGAGGACATATTACTCATATAAGCGCCTGTGAAATAAATGAAAACATAAGTGGCATATTTGCTTGGAATCTCTTTATTGCAATCTTAAACATATGTAAATATCTGATATGCACATGTGTAGATGGATTATATATAAGCGCCCTGCATGCATCCTACACATTCAGTGCCGTAAGTGCATTAATTCAGTTAGCATTAGAATGACTCGAGCGCCCCCGTGTTGTGATCGGCGGTACTGTGATGCAATTACACCCGACCACTATCTGCCACTATGACAGAATGAGTAGTGCAGTCTCATGCATCACTTGTTTAACACCTATTATTCACAGACTTAGACAATTCAGTGAGTAGTCGTGACACAGTAAGAGGTGAAAAACACGTCATAGTTAGATGTGCATGAATCGTGATACCAAAAATAACCATATTATATAAATAAACTGGGGAAACCGGGACTATGTGTCACACTTCTTCCCAGTGAATATTTCTCAGGGTAGGTTTTAAAAAAGACGATTTTTGTGTAAGTTCAGGCTACATACAAGTTTTTAATAATTATACTGTTATTGCCCAGGGAAAAATAGATACAGTTCGGCTTGTACGTTTAACTTTGTCCCCTGCACTCAGGCATTTTGTCACACTACATGGGGTAAGTTGTCACAATGGGAACCTGCATTTTTAAACTGATTTGAGAATATTTTGAGTTTGAAATATGAAAAGTTTTGCTGAATAGGGAAATCAAATATATATATAATAAATATATATAAAACGTATGTGACAATATTCCCCAAAATTTAATGTAGCAAGTGTGTGTTCCCCCCTTAAAGTAGAAGCTGAATTTAAAGAACAGAACCCTATAAATGAACCAGATTATAAATCCAAAATAAACTGCTATTTTGGGAAAAAAGACATGAATATGTCAAAGGTACGGCACTTTACGTAGACTGACCTTTGAGTGAGAGAGAAACAGGCTGAGAGATATTCGGGGAGTGTCAGGCATCCAGTTGTGTCTCTGTCAGCATATCCAACCTCACTTTAATAAAACATCACACAGAAAACATCTAAAACACTGAATCTAGGGCAGATATTCTTTCCGGGCCTGTCACTGTCTATTACATACAAACCCATGCACACTTTTTGGTTTGCTTGTGGATCCACAATGATCCGATCTTTCTGTACAGGCCTTAAAGGACTAGTTCTGCCATCATTTATTCATCCTCATGTCCTTAAACCTGTATAATTTTCATGTATGGTTTCCCGTAGAGCACAAAAATAGTTATTTATAATGGAATGTCCAAGGTGTTCTTTTCCTTACAGTGCAAGTGAATGGTGACCACAGCTGTCAGTCAAGTTTGAAATGTTAAGACTGAAATTTCAGGCTGTTCCTCTCACAATGCTATGGTGTGACTTGAAATTTAATGCACAACTTGAAGTAACTACTTTTTTAAAGGAATAGTTCACCCAAAATAAGAATTTGCCCTTAGGGCAACATGTAGATAAGTTTGTTTCTTCATTAGCACAGATATGGAGATATTTAGCATTACATCACTTGCTCACTGGAGTGGTGTGGATTACTTGTGGATTATTGTGATGTTTTTATCAGCTGTTTGGACTCTCATTCTGACGGCACCCATTCACTGCAGAGGATCCACTGCTGAGCAAGTGATGCAATGCTACATTTCTCCTAATTTATTGAAGAAATAAACTAATTTACATCGTGGATTGCCTGAGGGTGAGTACCTTTTCAGCAAATTCTCATTTGTGATATATTCCTTTAATGTGTTTTCCCTAATTTTTACAGTTCAACTTTCATTATATGACAGTGAGCAGCTCAGTTATTCTGCTAAACGTCTCCTTTGGTGCTCCATGGAAGAAATCAGAGGTTGGACCAACATGAGGGTGAGTAAATTATGAATTTTCATTTTTATGTAAACGCTACCTATAAGATATATTTTGAACATGTCATCTCTATAAGGAACATGGTTACCATCCTGCACTATGGCTGCATTTTCGTGAGAGGAGATGGAGAGAGACATAAAAGAGAGACGGAGTGAATGAAAGATAGAGCAATAGAAATAAGGTTACTTCAGCACAAATCACTCTGGGCTTGAATTTGTTTGGCCTTGAGATCCCTCAGCGTGTGTGCCAATGAACAATGCAACTTGAATGACATTGGCTTGTTTTTATTTCAGAGATTAACGAGTAACATATCAGCGCACATGGTAGGACTGTGTTTTGCATGAAAATAGTGCAGCACAGACTTTTAGAATGCTCTCAATGTTGGGCTGACCTTGTGTCATGGCCTCGGACTTGTAACCGGCAAATTGACACGTTTCTACAAATTAGTGCCCTTGGGAGGTTTTGATGTAACATTTGGTCTCGTTAGTTCTCTCTAAACTCTCTAAATTTGACCGTGTTATTTAAATACTTCTTTGATTTCTTTCTGGCTTTTGATAAAAGCTGACAATATTTTAATTAAAAAGCTGTGCTAAATAATACTTTTCAATAAAGCCGTTTTTGGCTAATGAATCAAACAATCAAAATTAATTCCAAACGTCTATGCTGATTAATTTATGCAAAACCTATTTCTCTATACACATTAACACTAGAATAGAGTTGTTTATGGAGTTAAGACAACAAATTGAAAATTAAGCTTGGATTGTGCAAATTAAGCTGCAAACTGATCAACTAATCAACATACAACCTCAGCCAATGAGGTTAAAGCTCAACCTTAAAGGGATTGTTAAACATTGTCATCATGTACTCACCCTCATGTTATTATTATTTTTTGTCATTTTTGAAGCTTGACAGCATCCGTTGACATTCAGTTTCTGCTTTTGTGTCCAACAAATGAGGGCGAGTATGTAATTTTTTTTATTTGTGGGTGAACAGCTTCTTTAATTCTGTACAAACACATGGATTAGTTTTACAAAAGCGCTGATGTGCTTGGTCAGGTGCATATTGCTATTAATTCTAAAACATCTGATATGAATGTTTTATAGCTGCATTCTCTAAGGCAACAGCGATCATTTTTACTTTCATCAACATGAGAGCACCAAAACAGTAATCTTGAGCTGGGATTCCCTTTAACACTGTTCTTTCTGCTTTTTATCATCTTTTAATAATTCATGTGTAGGCTGTGCGATTTCTGCAGCCCCCAGCAAAACGATAATATCCTGGAGATCAGGAGTGCTGGATGACGATTGGTTCAGAATGTACCAGCAGAAACCATTTGAGCTGTTGGACAAAAGGAGACTGTGGCAGCAGTAACTCATCTGTAATGGTCTGTAAAGCCTTCAGCTTGAGGCTGAGCGTAAAAAAACAGTCCAATGCGATCTGAGTGATTTATCAATCGGTCTGTGCTGGAGACCTCCCCAATGGTTCTGCAGTGTGGAGAGGAAGAGGAGGAAGTAAAGTCCATGTTTTTAGAAGTTTTCTTCTGCAGAACTTCAAATGGTCTGCCTCGTGGTGCCCGTGGTACTGCAGAGGTGTTTGGAACGGAGCCCTGCTGTTTGAACACTTACTCTTCCCTACCCCTGCGCCTCCTCCTCTGCCTCTCCAAGCAGTCTGTTCTTCCTGCTGTTTTCAGTGGTAGTTTACAGAAAATCTGTCAGCAGCTGAAATACGACTGCTTCAAAACATAGCGATTTATTTTGTGATTTAGGAAAATTTTGTTTTATATCTTGGTAAAGGGAAGGAGAGCGATGTGTGTTTGTGTGTGTGAACAGATGGTAGATTTTTACATTTCCTTGAAGAAAATTAGTGGTGCTTGGCTGTGCAAATTTCACAGGCAAGTTTTAAGGGTGTTTTGGGTGGTTGCCAGGGTGGTATAATGGTACTAAACGGTACTTTAGTACCAAGCCAGTTGCTATGCAGTTGCTAGGGTGTTCTGAGTATTTGCCAGGGCTGTTGCTATGACTCTAAAGCATACTTAGTGATGTTAGGGTGTTTTGTTGGTTGTTTGGTTGCTAGGGTGTTCTGGGTGGTTGCCAGGGCATTGCTATGCTACTAAAGTGTGCTTTAGTACTATGTCAATTGCTATACAATTGTTAGTGTGTTCTGAGTACTTGGCAGGGCCATTGATATGATTCTAAAATGTACTTAGTGATTGTTAATCTATTGCTAGGGTTGTCCGTATGTTGGGATTTGGTTGCTAGGGTGTTCTGAAGGGTTGCCAGGGTGTTTGCTGAGCTACTAAAGTGTGTTTAGTTTTTTTTGTTGTTGCTTTGCAGTTGCTAGGGTGTTTTGATTAGTTGTTTGTGTGTTGCAGTTGGGTTGCTAGGGTGTTTTGGGTGGTTGCCAGGG